AAAGATAAAAAAATATATATATATATATATATATATATATATATAAAAGGGAAATGATTCCTAATTAACGCTCCATATATATTTTAAAAATTTTCATCAACACCTCTCATTTTATTCGATTTTTCTTTTTATCACAATATATTACTTATTAAATTATATTTTTCTTTACTCTCTTTCACCAGGTATTAAATAAGTGTCCAAAAAATCATTTTTGAATATAAAATTTACAAAAGATCGAAAAAGGGAAGGAAGGGACACTAAATAAAAAACTCACACAAACTTGGTCACTTTGTACGTCTATCGTTGCTAAACTGCATATCTGCTTGATATAACAAAGGGACACAAAAATATCATCACGCAAGAATATCTTAATTTCTTAAATAGTTATACATGTACATAAAAAGGAGTTAATGAATCTGTTAGCCGTTTGGTTCCAATATTATATAACACAAGCTAATTAAAGTTAAATATTGTCAAAACAACAGAGGGTCAGAAGCGGTTACTTCTTGTCCTTCTTCATGCTGCATTGCTGCTTTGCCAATTCTTCTAAAAGCTAGGATTGTATTCTAGTCGTAGGGACAGGAATATGGATAATTTATACAAAATTGAAGCCGTGGGTAATGTGAAACCTATACTGTTAATGATAGTGGTCCAGACTCTATATGCAGTGGTGAATATCATGATAAAGTTGGTAGCAGATGATGGAATGAGTTTGAGTATTCTTGTTACCTACCGGTTCATCTTTGCTTCAGCCTTCATTGTTCCACTTGCTCTTATCTTTGAAAGGTATGTGTGTTTCTCTCTTTGAACAAGTTTCCCATTAAAGGGTTATTAGGAAATTAATAAAGATAGTTACTCGCTTTTCCTATGCACATAATTTCATTTAGTATAGCTGATCCACACATTATATATTATATTTTTTCAAATAGAAAAAAGCAATTTTATTAACTTAAATTTTCAATTATGAAAAATGATTGTATCTGCAATTTTTATTGGCATGTGTTTCACCAGGAAAAGTCTGCAATGTCTTACTGGGCAAGTTCTACTCCAAGGTCTTCTTTGTGGAGTATTTGGGTAATATTTCTAGTTCCCTAATTTATTTAAGATAGTCAATTTAAGCAAGTGTGAGATGATGATTTTAAATTTTTCAGGGGAGCCTTACTGCAAAATCTCTATGTTAAATCCTTGGCCTTGACATCCGCAGTTTATGTTACAGCCATGCTGAACCTCATCCCTGCTGTCACATACGTCTTGTCAGTTTTTGTTGGGTAGGCCCCATAACTTGTATCAATCACTGAATCACCATTAATTGTTAACATGTCTTACACCAAAAGGGGTGAGCAACGGGTGGGTTTGGTCGGGTTCGGGTGAAAAATGTCCAATCCATTGTAAACCGACTTTTAAAAAATGTGACCTATATCCGACTAACTGAGCTTTCGATTTGAGGCGGTTCGGGTTGAAACGGATTCGAATTTAAGCGGGTGGGTATAATCGGGTTTGAATTTTTTTGTAAACCAATTTATCTTAAGGAAGATGAAGCTTAAAACGATAAAAAATATTTTTAAAATAGTGTATAAAAATATAATGAAGGTGACAATAGATGGTATAAGTAGATTCGTAGTTGAAACATTTACAAACTAAAGAAGCAAAAATAAAAGATAACAAAATTCATAGTTGTTACATGGAAAAGAAATATAAAGTTAGATTACAAAATCATAAGAAATCACAGTCACACAAAATGTACTCAAAATGGAGATAAGAAGATGGAAAAGAAAGATAAAGAAAGAAGCAAAAAGATAACTCTAAAAATGGACTAGTGTGTTGAGAAGTTGAATGAGGAAGGAGAAGACAAAATAAATATCTAAGTTATGAGAAAAAGGAAAAAAATAAGTTACAAATTGATGGCTATATTATACTTGAAATAAAGACTTTTAAGTTTGGACCATTGTTATTTAGTTATACAAAAGTAATAAAAATTTAAACTTATCTCATTTTCGGTTGAGTTCGGTTTTTGGCGGGTTTAAAAATTCAAAACCGAACCCGCCCAATATAACCCGTATAAAATCAAAATTTTAACCCGATTTACCCATAAGACCCGCCCGAACCCACCCAAAAATAATATTTTTTATCGGATTTTTCGGGTTCGGTTCGGGTGTCGGTTTAATGCTCACCCCTAACCAAAAGTAAAAACAAAAAAAAAATTGTTAATATGCTAAACGTCATTACTAATTACAAATGTTCTGATACAACCTTTTAAATACACTTTTATTATTGACTAAAAATATTTAGAAATCACAAAATCTTATAGATTTCATCTCTTACTGAGTTTCACTTATGATCTTATACTTTTTTAAGTAAATTTTAAAAACTTGTTTAGATATATGATAAAAGTATTTCTAAAAGTTTCTTTATAAAAAAATATTTTTTATTTTTTAATAAAAAAAACTCTTGAAAAATACTTGTGAATTTGCATCTAAACAAATTCCAAATTATGATATTAAAAAAATTGTCAAAAAGAATGTATTAGAAAATATTGAATATCATTCAATGCCATGCATGGTGGTGGTTTCATCCCCATATATATCCCTGCTTGTTGCAGATTTGAGAAGTCAAATCTTGGAACAGTAGGTGGGATGGCGAAGTTGGTGGGAACATTAACAGGAATTGCGGGTGCCATGATCCTAACTTTCTACAAAGGAAGAAGGCTATGCCTTTGGTCAACATACATTGACTTGTCGCACCATGCCACATCACCACCCACTGCCCCCACCGGTTCTCTTCTGTGGGGCTGCATTCTAGCTTTTGCAGCCACTCTCAGTTACTCCTTGTGGTTGATAGTCCAGGTTAATTAAACTCATAATACCCTTTAATAACTTTTTGGCAATTTTACGAAAATGTGTTACAATCTCATGCTACTGCCACATACTTCTGGTTCCATATATTACTCCTAGAATTTCTCTATTTTTATACATTTTTTGGCCTAAACTCACTCGGTATATATAATTGAAATTTTGTAACACCGTAAATTTGGATAAGCAGACAAAGATGAGCCAGAAGTTTCCGTGGCACTACTCAATTGCAGCTTTAACCTCTGTAACGGCCTCAATCCTATCCGTTATATTTGCACTTTGTACGGAGAGAGATTGGAGCCAGTGGAAACTTGGTTGGAACTTGAGGCTTCTAACAGCAGCTTCTGCGGTATTGCTTTTGGTGTTTTCTACATACATACTACTCTCTCCATTGCCACAAATAACCAAAACATGCAATGCATGGTTAAAATTTTAAAATGAAGTTAATTAATTATAAGATATAATTTGTTGCTCTATTTTTGTTTTGTAGGGTATCTTTGCCTCTGGAGTGTGCTATACCCTACTAGCATGGTGTGTGCGCAGGAAGGGACCTTTATTTGCGTCTGCTTTTAGTCCTCTAATGCTGGTGGTCGTGACCCTTGCCGGGCCATTGGTACTAGATGAGTGTCTCAACATTGGAAGGTGAATTAAGAAACCAAACCAACTATGCAATTATGAACCTTCAAGTTCCTCGTTTCAAGTGTGAATGCCCTAATTAACTATTATGGTTTATGTATGTTTGTATGTACTGTGCAGTTTAACAGGATCAGTGTTGATTGTGGGTGGATTGTACATGTTGTTGTGGGGTAAAAGCAAGGAAACACCAAGGGAGCTGAGTGAGATGGTGTCCTCAAAAGGCTCTCCCCAATGTGATCCAATTCACATTATTAATAACCCATCTTTGGCATGCAGCCAAAGGAATCATGACAACAAGATTCTACCAACTGTTCCTTCTTGTACACCGTTAAGTGTCAACCATTCATAAGACGAAATTCAACAATTGAATCTGTTGTCCTGATAAGATATTTGAGTAATTAGTATACTATACATTTATATGTTGGATTGGGAATTTAAATAGAATAATTTATTTATTTAAAAAAATTTAAATTTTTTGAAATAAAATATCTTATTTAAACGGAAAATTTATAAAGATTTAAAATTCAAGCGTGAAATTTCTTGAAATAGTAAAATTTTAAATTCTTTTAAAACAGTAAGAATTTGAAATTTTTCATTTTTTTTTTCTTATTTCACTTATATGTTATCTTATCTCTTATCTCTTCATATTTTTAATTATTAAATATTTAAAAATATTTTTAAAATTATTAAATATTATCTAATATTA